TTTGTAGTCCTGCATCTATGTTAGTGTTCCTAGGGTATACATGTCATCATCATTATCAGAGACGGCAGCCTGGCTGTACAGGGGGGGCTTTGAGAAGATTTAAGTGGTTGACTTCAAATATTTCAGTCACAGTTCAATGGGAAAGAAGATCGGAAAATGGGCTGGCAGACCTTCTAGCTAAACAAGGAGTACATAGGAATCAACTCTTTTGGGCTCAATTGTAGGCTTTATGATGTAGTTTGGAGGCTGCACCTCGCGCCTCTTTGTGGGGAATTATATGATGAATACTTACTTCTTTATTTAATAAAATTTTCATTATCATTATCTATCAAAAAAAATGTCATCACCATTATCCAAGCCTCATCCCAACTATATGGGCCTGGCTACATGAGTTCTGTTTCACCATTTTGTTTTGTTTAGTGCCATATCTATTGTTAAACTATAGGTGCTCAAATGATTTCTTGTTACTTCCACCCAAGTCTTTTTCATTTGCCCCTAGCTCTCCTAGCCCCTTAAATCATTTCTTATCTATCTCACTTGCCCTCTATTTATTGGAGGTGACAACTTTCTGCTTATTCTTTTTATCAGTCTTTTTGCCTTTTCTTATTTTTCCCAAGAAACAATACTTGTGTTATTTGGATGGTTTGACTAAGGTGATGTTTGGCATCGACGATGATTTCTTGAAAATCACTGCCATGTTGGAGCCACGTCAGTGTTAGAGGAATTGGCGTTGAAGTTTCTTTTTGGTTGGCCAATTTTGGTGATTTTCAGGAAATTGGCCAAAAACTGATTCTTGAAACCATCCCTTTTCAGGGATCACCTTTTTTTGGTGATTTCCTGTTTTCTAGCTGATTCCTTTTATTTAGAATGGCATGGCATTGAATAATTACTCTATTACAAAAATAATTGGCCCTTGAAAATCAGTACCAAACAGACTCAAAGTCGATTTCTCAAAAATCGGCTTACATGGCAGAAAATGATACCAAATAACAAAATTTATCAAATTTTGAAAAAAAAAACACTGATTTAAAAAATCTCCGATTTTTTGAAAAATCGGTAAGGAAGAATCAGCATCGATGCCAAACATTGCCTAAACCACTAGTTTTTTAACATTGTATTGCAGTTAAAATGTATTTGTATGCATGTATCTGCTAATGCTCTTTTCTAATCTGTGATGTGAAAATTGAGATGTAGAAACCATAAAGGTTATTTGTTATTCTTTTTGTGCTTTCAACATTAGTGCAGTGATCTTTTGATGCAGAAGACAGAATTTCTAATGCATTAAGGATTTGCGATCTTTCTTTTCCAAGTTACTGAAATTCCTGAGGCGCTTAAGCGACAACTGTGGACCATTACTTTTAGCTTGCCTAGGCATTATTACAAGAATGAAAGCCCCCACAAGAAGCTCTGTTTTTCCTGTCTGCATCTCCTCATCTACATCCTTCCTTTCTTTTTGAATGAAAGTTAACTTTTCAAAAAAAGGCATTTTAAGAAATTCTTTTTTACTAATTAAATAACATAAAAAAGGCCCCTCTGAAATTTTGAAAATAAACTAAAAAAAAAAGTGTGAGGTTCAAAGTATCGATGCAACCCTTTTGGTGTAACATAATGAAACACTCAAATTTAATAATAATAAAAAAATTAGGCCATGAACACATTTCAAAACTGATAAAAGAAAACACATTTCAAAAAAATCATAAAAAAATCAAAACGAGTTAGAGCAATGAATTAACCCCTTTATAGAAGGGCATGTTTGTTAAAGCTAGAATTGAAGATAGACCTGCACATCAGGGTAAGATTCTAAGAGAGAATTAGCTTGAATAATAATGTTCAACAAAAAAAATAGTTTGAATAATCCAATATTGGAGGTGCAGGTTGGGCTGATTGAAGAGAATAACAGTCTTTTTTCTTTTCACTTCCTGAAGATAGGGAAAGGATTAATGAGGCAATTCAGGTGCTTTTGACCAAGAAACTAGAAAGACAAGTAGTTACTGTTTTAAATTGCATATGATTACAATTCAGTAGTTCATTCTTAAAAAGATGTCAGTCTTGCATAAAAAGGGAAAATTACAGACAACCACCCTGTACTTTTGGATTCCGAGACTTTGCCCGTGCTGTTAGCTTTCCGTCAGTTAACTTCATGGAATATTCCTTTTAACATCTCTAAAACCCTAAACTACTCTTTTGTTATCTTATGAGACTATTTTGCCCTTTTAACTTAGGATGTGTTTTGATAATTTTATTTGGAAGTACTTTGGTGCTTTGGGAATAAAAAAACTGTTTTGGAGTTTGGTAATGTGTGTTTTCCAAAGCAAAAACACTTCTGCAATAAAAAATACAAGGCAATAGTAGGATGCTTTGTGCTTCGACTATGTGGCCTGGGGCATATTTGCTTTTCACAAAACATGGAAGGTGTGAACACATGAAGCCTTCCCGCATGTCATATTTATATATACTCTAAAGACATGGCACTTTTATGCCACGTGGAAAAAATGTGCTACATGGCCCACATGATGTTAGTTTGTGCAACATGTCATAACCATGGTCATTTTTTTATGAACCACACCACATGGCATGGATGATTTGACGCCACATGGTAAAGGGATAGGCACAAATTATGGGCTGATATGTGGAATTTTCATGTTGATCATAATAAATCAATACACTGCAACCAAACGCTTATTTATGCTTTTACTTTCAAAAGCTTGTTTTGAAAACAACATTTATCAAACTGCAAAGGCACAAAATTAAAGCATGAAACATACTTAATGCTTGTGCTCTGAAAAACACAGAATGCAAAAGACTTATCCAAACAAAACCTAGTTCTTCTAAAATCCTAATTCTTGCATGTTTCTCTCAACTTTTTTCCAACAAAGTACATCTTGAGAATGCCTTGAGAATGATTTGTGCTTTAGAATGGTTATTTTCATCATTTCCATATTTGTTGCTGTCAGCCCATTGAATCTTGAATGGTCAATTTAGTAATTTTATTTTCATTGTTAAGTTGTCAACCCCATTAATGGGTCAGGGAGCAAAGTGCTGGAATCTAGAAGTTTGGGGAGGAGGTCTTTGTCACAAAACAAAGTTGGGGGCTAAGTGCTACCACCCCCTAAGTACAGGGTGGCTATCTGTAATTTACCCAAAAAGCTAAAGAAAAGATTCTGCTCTACCGATAAAACCACTCCTAACAGTGAATCAAGATATCAACTACTTTAAAATATAGTATGGTAATGACGTGAGGTTTAGCTGCCATGAGATAAGAGATTAGGCCATGCACTTGTTTTGTGTTTCTTAAATGTAGCTTTCCCACTTTTTAGATGTTTTCTTGGTCTCTGTTTTTATTTTTTATGCCAAGTCAAATAGGAAGAGGCCATTGCTTGGTTTATTCTTGGGCTGATAAGCATGAGAATTCAGGTTTGAGTCTGAGAGCAGCCACTTTATGCAAATAGAAGAGGAAGGTTAGGTCTGTATCCAGTTCACCCCTCCCAAGACTCTAGATAGCTGGGACCAACATTGGGTAATGGCCTTATGGTAACTAAGTCATATAGGAGAGGAAAAACATGTTGTGGGAAATTTTACATGGTTTGTTTCTTGTAGACTTGTAATAACTAAGTGGCAGAAATTAATACGGGTAATTAAGCAAACTAAGGCAGCTTGTGTAAAGGTTTCTTTGATTTTGACATATAAAAGCCATCTTGTAGATGAACAAGTAGTATCGTTTCTGTCCTATTATTCGTGTGTTAATCATTTCATTATCTCCCATTCACCCGCCCCTTTACTACTCATGGGGCAGGCAGATTGGACAGGATTGTGTTGGTGCGGGGGGGGGGGGGGTTGAATTCTGTGACCAACCTGAGTTGTTGCAACTCCTACCTGTATTGTTGAATGGTGATAAATTGGTCTTGAATGGGCATATTCTTTTCTTGTGGCCTCAAATTTTGTGTATAGGATTTTGTACCATTATCTCTTGACTGAGAAAAACCAAAACTTTCATTTTGTGATTTGAACCCCTCCTTGCAGGAACACATAGTTGTTCTCAATTTATTCTTATTCTACATCTTACATTATTTCCCTTCATTTACCATGTTTTTCTAATTTTTTCTCATGGAGCTACACAACAGGGGTAGCCCACCCCCTGTACCCATAACCCCCACATTCTGGTGGCAGTAGGATTTGATCCCAAGTCTCTGCTACAACTGGACAGACAACTTGTAGACTGAGCCACCAGCAGTTGGTCTTTTTATTTTTATTTTTCATTCATTCTTCTTTTACTTTTTTTTTTAATCTCAACATATTCATCAACCTAATCTTTCCTGGTTGCTGATTAGGAAGAAAAAAATCCTAAAGGCATGTATTTCCCTTCTTCTCAGGTTGATAGTTTTCTGCCATTACTATGGTTTTAGTGTCATAAATTATATAATGTTGATAATCTGCTTAAATTGGTCATTTACTTGGCACTTAGGTGCCTTTGTCTTTATCCAAAGCAGTTTTTCTTGTATTTTGCCAGCTTGAATTGGTTTGGAGAAGATGTTTTGTTATAAATTTTTAGTTTTTCAGAGGTAAAATTTTGATGTCTATTGTTAGATATTATAATTCATTCTTCTAGAGGGTTGAACTAAAAATAGATAATGCAAAAAAAGGGGAATAGGGCTGATTTGCTGATGTGATGACAAATACAAACAAGAAATGAAGTGCATCTCTTTGGGGAAATTAAAAGCAAATCCTTCATATTTGAAAACTATCCATTTTGGTTGAAAATTGTCATACATTGAACTGGTAGTTGTAAATTATTATTTTTCTCATGCTCGATTAATGTGTGAAGATCTTACTTATCTTACTTTTAAGGAATAATGTGCTTAAATGAGTTTCTTGCATTTATTTGACTAACATCTCCATGTGTTTTAGGCTTGTAAACAGCTTTATTCTCCGAGCTATATTTGATAGCATGTCTTCAATTTGATGTTTAATAATGTTCCTAATTCCTTCCCTGATTGTTGCAGTTTTTCGAAGGATACGGATATCATGGAACATCATTTGAGCAGACATACCGTTGTTATCCAGCATCTTTTATTGATAAGGTCAAGCATCTTCGTCACTGTTGTCTCTTCTCAGTTTTTTATCCATGTGCATTGCTGTAGTTACTTTGTGTGTGAGTGTATTGCTGTAGCGAGAGAAAGAATGTTTAGCATTGTAATATAAATGTATTTTAAATGCTGTTTCCTCTGCAGCCTTGAATAAGTCCTCTAACTTTCTCCCTTTTCCTTGGCCATGCAAATGTTGTTGGAGCAAAAAGGCTTGGGACATCACCAAAGAAGCCCACTTGTGCCCAAATTAGGAAAAAATACCATTCCCAAACACTAACAGCAAAGGGACATGAAATCAGTAAGTGATAGGAAGTCTCACCATTAGCACAAAAAATACACAAAGGAGGAGGAGATAAGCACTGTCTCTTTCTTTGGAGCCAACCACAGGTATTTATTCTTTTGTGAGCAACTTCCCACAAAAAGTTGGGATAGGCTTGCACCATACCTCCTTGGCAGGAAAATGTTGCAAAGAGTTAAAGGAGGGTTGGGTTAGGGCCTTGAAAAAAGAAGCCAGAGGAAAAGGATCCAGAAGGAAAGGGAATCCAAATCCTTCCATCAGACTTTGGAGCAGTGCAAGTATAATAGGTAGTTTAGTATCCCTTATATACCCCTTTCTAAAGTCAAGATTCCAGTCAAAACCATTTCTTGAGTTTGAAGGAACAAGAAACTTGGAGATTGACTCATTTTTAAAACATGACAGTACAAATAAAGAAGAATATTGGTCCTTCAGAGTAGAAGTTCCACACCAAACATGTTTCCAAAATTTAACAAGGTTCCTAGGATTAAGATCATACCTGAGAAGGTGAAGGAATAAAGGAAGAACTGCATGGATGTCTTTCCAAGGAGAAGTTCGGGTTGCCCTAGCCAATGATCCAACATCCTACCCATTTTTCAAAAGTCCATGTATATTCACCACCCACACAGCTTGTCCCTTTCTTTAGGCATCCTCCACAGCCACTCTCATCTTTACCTTGGGAGGGCATGTCCTGAATTAGCTGAGAAACCTTTTTGGCTCGGTTGCATATTCCACACAACTTATATCTACATGTGCTCTTCCTAGAGTGTGGGGCTCTTGAAACTCATGCTGAACAGCTTGGCCACATCATGTAGGAGTGGCAAATGTTGGCTTGGCTTTTGTGCCAATTGGAGATCAACCCATCAACCAACCACCCATATCCATTAACAACCCACATTTCTAACATGTTTATGGATTGGTTAGGTTCTTTTTCTGGTGGCTGGCAATCTTCTAATGTATATTTTTTTTTCTTTTTTCTTTCTTCTTTCATTCTACAGCCGCAAATTGAAAGTGGCGATAAAAGTAAGTTGACTTTCTAACAAGTTTCACATTATTGTTTATATCTCTTTCTCTCTGTATGTGTGTTGTGCAAATTTGTCACGATTTTGTCTTTTGTTGTCAGTCATAATGCCTCCCTCAGCTCTTGATCGTCTTGGTGAGTCATTTTAATTGTGTAATCCCTGTTAATTACTTACTATCTGCGAAAAGGGCTACCAGATGATGAAGATTTTGTCATTCTTCTTGCCACTCTGGGTTATGAATTTTTAATTCTTCATGATTTTTTATACTAAAACTTTACTTTTCAGCATCTCTTCACATTGACTATCCAATGTTGTTCGAGCTATGCAATTCTGCCACCGAGCGAGTCTCACACTGTGGTGTTTTGGAGTTCATTGCTGAAGAAGGCATGATCTACATGCCATATTGGGTAAGCATTTGATATTGTACATTTGTGTGTGTGCACGTGCTTTGTGTTTGTGGGCAACTGTTTTTTGATAAATTTATTTGCAAAAGCCTAACTCTGTACATTTTGCTCCAACTTACTAATTCCTGTCTAGATGATGGAAAATATGCTTTTACAAGAGGGAGACACTGTGCGTGTGAAAAATGTGACTCTTCCAAAAGGCACATATGTGAAACTGCAGCCTCACACAATGGATTTCTTAGATATTTCCAACCCCAAAGCCATGTGAGTGCATAATTTTCTTATTTAAACTTGTATCATTTTATGGTTCTTTTAATGAGGGGGCAATTCTGTCACCTCCTTAGCTTCCTCTACCTTTCACTCAAAACTACAACTCTGTTGCCTCCCACCTTTTCTCTTTCTTCTACATCTTTTTTACATCAAATGTATCACCCCCTCCCCGGTGAAGCTATGTGGATTACTGTCATACAAGATTCTGATGCTAAGGATCCTAGTTATGAGAGCGGATTAGCTGAATTTGATGGCTGTCTTCCTGGCTGTGGGACCGATCATTTTGATCCACACCAGTCATAAATGCAAGTGAGAGATTGAGTAATTGTGGGTTATATGCACTTTATGGTTGATGTGGAGCAAAATGATTGGTCCCACAGCCAGTAAAACAGCCATCAAATTCAGCTAATAATTTCTCTATAGTTATAGGGTGTTATTGTGCCTTGAAGACCTGTGGTTTGACTGGAATTCATATATACATTTATAAATAAATATGGGGAGACTTGACAGATTTTTTTTTGGTTCAAGGCAACTTTCTAAACAATTTATTTTGACTGTTAACTTTTTCCTTTCTGAACAGTTTGCTTTGGAGAGTTGCCACTATGATTTTGTCTGAAATGGTTGCAATGATTACAGATTACCTCACTTCTGTTCTATTGCATGCAGCTTGGAGACAACATTAAGGAACTTCTCCTGCTTAACCACTGGGGATAGTATAATGGTAGCCTATAACAATAAGAAGTACTACATAGATATTGTAGAAACAAAGCCTTCCAATGCAATAAGCATTATTGAGACTGACTGTGAGGTAGACTTTGCACCTCCCCTTGATTACAAGGAACCTGCAAGACCTGCCCCTTCTGTTCCTACAAGCAAGGCACCAGCTCAAGGTTAGCATTTTAATATACTCTGCCATTTCCGTTTTATGTTCAGTGTCTCTGTTTCAGGATCATCGTGGTTTCACATCTATTCCTCTACTTCAAACCTTAGGAGTCGTTATTTGTCAATGCATTAGGACAAATGACATGCTTAATTGGTTCTTGTTATTTATTTGCCAAATCCTGGTCTGCAATAGAAATAAATTGTGTTTTGAGTCATTTTTTCACTTTTCTTTCTTTTTTCTTGTACTTATTTCAACATTATAAAACGAAAATAAAAATAATACTCAATCCCCCTCCCAAAAAGGATCAATAATTATCATGAAAACACTAGGTAATTGTTTTCTTTTAATTGGTAATAGATCAGCAAGAAAATTTGTTCAATGTACAACAGCAAAATTCAAGGGGGAAAACTGAGCAAAGATGTCCATACCCAAAGTTCCATCCGGGAAGAATAGAACCAATACAACGTATCCTGACTTAGCCTTAACCTAGAGAATCTTCAAGGTCAACTTCATTAGCTGATCTTCTAACCCATCTCTATGAGCCATTTCTTCCTCAAAGCACAACAATCGACAGAAATAGAGGCTTCTCTTAGATGGTTCTATTTATTTTTATTATTTTTACATAACCACCCATTTCTTTTTGTCATAACGAACTACTTTGTTTTTGCAGTTCAAGAGGCTCCTGCTGTGGTGGAACCAGAATTTAGCCCATTTTCTGGTGTTGGAAGACGCTTGGATGGGAAACCGTTGAAGTATCAAGCCTCACCGGTTTCTACATCTGGACCCAAAGACAAGCATACAAGTGGTGGTGGGCAAAGTTCAGCAGGGTCCACTTCACAAAGCACTTCTCGTCAGCCTCAGGGAAAGCTTGTATTTGGTTCAAACCACGCTCATAAAGATGCACAGAAGGTAGGTCTGATTCTCTTCAGTTTTACTTTGAAATTAGGGTTTTGGTTTATTATTTCCCTTTAATGGACGGGGAGTCCATTTTAAAGATTTTGGCGGAAAACATGGCTCATGATAGAGCCGAATTGTAGAACAGAATTTGTGTAACCGACCCAAACTATGTTTTAACTGTTTATTATTTATTTTATTTAAGGTGCAGCAACCTCCCAAGCAAGAGCAGCCCCAGAAGAAAGAAGAGCCAAAGTTCCAGGCCTTTACAGGGAAAAAGTACTCGTTAAGGGGATGAATACGAAATGCTGGCTTTGTTCATACTCCTGTTTCTCTTTTGTACTTGTGAATTAGGAATTGTCTGGCATTGAATTATTGTCATTAAAATATGATTATCAGATCGCCTCCCTCCCCTTTCATAAAAAAAAAAAGAAGAGAAAAAACCTCATAATTGTTCATGAAATTTCAAAAATATAATATTACATAATACGTAGGCTTTTAGGAAAACGAAAAACATTTCGGGGGTGTTGGAGTTGGACAACAGGTTTTGTTTTTGAAAACAACTGCCACGTCAGCTTTGAATACCCCCCTTAATGTTTGGAGGTTGATTTTGATACAACTATCTTTCCAATTGCTGGACACCAAACTAAAACTTAGCCGTCTCCCTGTAATTTTGAAATGTTTGCATGGTGTCAGAGCAACTTAACAGCATAGAACGTACCAACCTGAGAGATTTCATCGACCTGAAATCAACCCTATTAATATGCTAGCAACATTCAATAAAACCACATTCATTTGCAGATCATGACAAACATAAAGTATTCCATTGAAAGAAGTCCACATGCATTTTTGCCTTTGCTGCTCGTCTAAGAGTGTACTGGTAGAACCCACAAAACTGAGTCCTGATCGTGACAAAATATGCCATTAAAAACAAGGGATAATTATATCTTGAGGATTTAACCACAAATCATGAACATTTTTGTATATAATCTGAGCTTGGGATGGTAGTTGTCTGGCATACCCTACAAATAAGAAGATTCGAGAACATGACACCAAGTTTGATGAAAATCATATAATAAATTTCCTTAAGCATTCATTAAGCCATGCCTTGGCCTAATCAACTATTTTTCCTCGTGTTATATATACGGTCAACTTTATGATTACAGTTTATAAGAATGCTCATGATTATTGCAATATTGTTACTAATTGCAGAAACCAAAACCTGCATGAAGCCTTTGCACCAATCTTCCGCCTATAAAACATGTAGTTCCTGTTATTGATATAATTATCTGGTTTTCCTGAAATGAACCCACAGGAGTCGACGAAATATTCACGGGGACCAGCTGTTCTCTCCCAGTATCAGTGTAGTTAAGGAAGCTAATTGACACCTATGCATTTAGGCAGACAAGATTAATTATGAAATATTAATCCACCAAATTTCAGAATTACAGATATTTTGTAACATATAGAATTACAGAATTTCATATTAATTATGAAATATTAATCCACCAAATTAAATCAGTAAATGGCGAAATTAAAACTTATACTTGACTTTCAGAAATAATGACAAGATTTTGAATAACCTCTCTGGTTCAGAGGAAAACACAGACACAAGGATTAGGAATCTAATTTGTAGCTCTAAATGCACTGGTATAGACCGAAAATAGATTATACACATAGAAAGGGGGTATAATTAATTATTTGTAAGATGGCTTGTACTGATGCAAAACAACGGCAGTGCAAATGATTTGAATGTAAATTTTGACATATTTTTGTTTCAAATTTTAATTTGTTTTGTTTGATTGTAATACAAATTAAGTAAATTAAGACATAAAACAGAATAAAATAAAACCCAAAATAAAATTAAACGAGAATTTGCATTTTTTTCATTTACATTCTTATGTTTTTGTATTAGTGCAAATAAAATTGCACTGCATCCAAACACAGCCTAAAGGACAAATTTCAATCTTTTTTTTTTCTTATTTTGCGCCCTGACAGCAATAACATTCATGCCCTAACACCCTATTAATTTCTTGGCCTTTGCATAGTTGCATGCATCAAAAGGTTACATCCAGAAGGCGGCCCACATGGCCACATCAAGCTCTAGGATGCACCATTGATATATAAAATTGAAAGGGGCACAGAAGCAGATGAAGTGATCGGAATATCCGGAAAATACAATAACTTCAAATACAATAAAAGAATAGTAAATTATAGATAGATACCTCCTACAATGGGGGTAGTGACAGATACGTATCATGAACTTTCAATTGCAATATTTGAGTATCATGTACTTTAAAAAATAGACAGTTAGGTCTATCTAGTAGTATTCTGTCAGTTAAACATTATACAATGTCAAAAATATCATTTTTCATGTATTTTTGAGATCATTCTTTTGACTAAAATCATCGCCAGAGAATGCCATCATCAGAATTTTTGAAAATGTTATTTGTTGTCCATGTGAGAATGTTATCATGGGGAGACATTTGGTCACCTGAGCATGGTTTTTAAAAACGAACTGGTGATCGAACTGGTCAGGGGTCCGGTTACCGGTTCGAATGGTCCAACCGTTCGACCCGAACGGTAAGCTCGTTTTGACAAAAAAATAAAATATTTTAAAAAATTAAAAAATAGAAAATGGTCAAAACTGTTTGAATAGTTCGAACGGTTAATCAACCGGTTCAATGGTTTACTGACCAAAATCAACAGTTTTTCCGGTCCGACCGTCCAGTCCGATCCAATTTTGAAAACAGTACACCTGAGAATGATTTTAGAAATACATGAGAAAGGTATTTTTTACATTATGTAATGTTCAATTGACAGAATACTAACAAATGGACTTAAGTGTTATTTTTGAGAGTTGAGGGTATTCAAGTGTTGCAATTAAAAGTTAAAGGTACCTATCTGTAATTTACCCAAAAAATAAATAAAATTGAAATTCCCGCCAAAAATTCATTTGCTGAAATTCATTATCCAAAACCCAAGAAAAAGTAACGTAGAAACATATGACATGCCTTCTGAGTTCTGACCTGGATTAGATCCACTCTAGTAGTTGTTGTGGACATGGAAGACCCTAGACATCTTTATCGCCCATGAAGGGTGTAGTAAATTGTTAACACCACACAATAAAAATCGATCGAGAAAGAAGAAATCAAAAAAACTTATAAAAATAAAGACCTTTGGTTATGGAGAAGAGCGTTGGATACTTATAACGCGGGTCCTGGAATTTGAATTGACGGAGCTCTTTATGGAGTTCATATTGTTGCCCCATAGGCACCTTACATGCATATTGATGTAACCGTTTCTGGTCACGTACCATTTTTTGTGATATATAATTTTTTTTGTCTAAGTACCTCGTTATTTGACCCGGTGGTGACGTGCCTTAGTGATGAGCTACTTGGTGGCGAACTCCCTGGTGGAGAACTGCCTGGTGGCAAACTCCCTGGTGGAGAGCTACTTGGTGACGAACTGCTTGGTGACGAACTCCCTGGTGAAGAACTGCCCGGTGGCGAGCTCCCTGGTGGCGAACTGCTTGGTGGTGAGCTCCCTGGTGGTGAACTACCTAGTGGTGAGCTCCCTGGTGGAGAGCTACTTAGTGGCGAACTGCCCGGTGGCAAGCTCCCTGGTGGCGAACTCCCTGGTGGACTCGTCATTTGACCTGCTCCTAGGCGGCCTGCAACTCAGAGGATGGTGGAGCTCCCTGGTGCAGTGCAACCCGACTACCCTCTGCATGAGGTGATTTCCTCTCCTTTGTAGGCGGCGGGAGCTGAGGGACCTGCGAGAATTGAATCAGAGGACCCGGGGGTATTTTCTCGGTGGGGATTCTCCGATGCCTAAGTTAGCATTCTGATTACAGAGAGCTTGGAGAGAAATGAGAGAGCTAGAGAGCAAGGGTCACCATCCTTTTTTTTCCCCCTTTGGCTTTGGGGGTCGGAGTCCTTATATAGTGGTGTCCTCGCGGGTTAGGTGGGTGAAAAGCCTTCAAACGGTAAGACTCGTCATATCCCATCAGAACCGGGGTACGGTGGTGAACTCCTCGAGGTTGTCAGGCTGGCGCCTGGGCCAGGTTGTCAGGTCGGCGCCTGTGTCATTCGGCGGGTCGGTGTCTGGGCCAGGTTGTCAGGTCGGTGTCTGTGTCAGTCGGCAAGTCGGTGTCTGGGCTAGGTTGTCAGGTCGGCGCCTGTGTCAGTTGGCGGGTCGGTGTCTGGGCCAGGTTGTCAGGTCGGCGCCTGTGTCAGTCGGCAGGTCGGTGTCTGGGACAGGTTGTCAGGCAGGAGATCTTCTTGCGATACGCCAAACTACTCTTCTGTACCGAGCTACCCTACAAGTGGCGAGTTGCCCGGGGGAGCTATGCTGAGCTGCTTGTGGCGAGCTTTGCCAAGCTGCCTAGCTCCTTGGTGGCGAGCTCCTTGGAGAGCTACCTAGCTCCTTGGCGAGTTCTTTGGTGAGCTACCGAGCTCCTTGGCGAGCTACTTGGTGAGCTACCGAGCTCGCGGGGTATGCCGTTATGGTTCATCGGTGGGCGTCTTATGGGCGGCTAGGTCGGCCAGGTCGGATCATGTGCCAGGCTGATCCGGCCAGGTCACGCAGGCCG